TAGAGCAGGATAGCTTTGTAGAGTATGCAAGTAACTTTTTTTAATATATAATTATACATATAATAATGTTAAATATAATTTATATGTGATATAAATAAAATAGATATAAATATATAAATAAAAATATAAAAAAAGTTATTCTGCTTGGGATATTGGGGGATCTGTTAGCAGGGTAATGATGCATTTCCAAGGGCTATGGATTCCAAACTGAGTAACTGTTTCCTACCTGTGATGGGTTGAAGGCCTAGACCTGTAGATCTGTTCCTTCAGGATCATCGTCAGGAGGACCTGGGTGGCATCTCCCAAGGGTGCAGGGAGCTCTGCTTACCTTGTGTTTGCTGTGGATTATGTGCACCCCGGCAGATGGTGACTGCTCTGTGGCTAATGCATGACTGGTGCTGGCGTGTGGTAACTCCTTTGTGCCTGACTATGGGCATTCCTCGGGCACACAGCCTTAGCCATGGTGAATTTGGATGCAGTGGTGGCCCACATGGTCCGAAGTTCAACTTTGCAGCACCTCTCAAAGCTGCTGTTTTTTTCTGAATTAATCAGGACAGTGGATGCTGCCTGGAAACCCTTCAGCTGGAGGTGGGCAGTGTTTAGCTTTTCTGAATTAATGATATCTTGGAGTGACTTATACCATGCTTCATACCACGCTTCTACCCTTGAGAGCTGTGACTTAAAGCTTGGGTGCTTCCCAGTTCTAGATCTATCTGTATCTGTCTCAAATGYTTTTCTGGGGAATAAAATACCCTGGTTTGGGGGAGTTCTTCAGGGCCAGTGAACAGGCAGGATTTGGCTTGCTGACAGGAAAGGGCAGGATTTGGCTTGCTCAACTTCTTGATCAGTGGTAATAGACTGGAGAATGGAAGAACCTAGCTCAGCTTTGCTAAAGCTCATGCTTGCAGGCCTTTTCAGAATAACTGGAAGGAGGACAAAAAAAGAAATTCGTTCTTATGCCCGAACTGAGAATGTCTCAACTGCCCCACCACGAGATGGAAAGAGGAGTGCTCATCAGGGAGACTCAAGGGAGAGTTGCATCAGACAAACACGTGTCCAGCAGGTGCCTCAGTGCCAGCCCYGTGAGAGCCAAGAGACGTGTGGAAGTGGTGCATGTATGGGGATGGTGACAAGGGCGATAAGCTGGTTGCAGGAATCACCAGATGGCACTGTTACGCACGCTCTCGCCAAGTCATTTTTTCTCTATGGGAGACGTGTGATGTTTCCAACCTGTTACATGGCTGGGATTTTAAGAGATAGTTTCTTGTAGGGTGCTATTGCAAGCAGTAAGTGGACAGGTACATTGCTCACTGCACCTTTCATGGGCATCAGGTCTTGGGAGAGCGTTCATTGGGGCTGAGGCAGTAGGGTTTGGGTGAAGACTTCTGAGTGTATGATTGCGTTTTTGCTGAATAACTGTTGTGTGGTTGGGTGAGGAAGGGAAAGATCTCAGGGCTGCCTAGGTGGTGTCACTTCGTACAAGTCTGTTTTCTAGTGAAGAGCAACCCTGACTTCTGCCATCCTGTGGCCATGTGTTTTGAAAAGGCCAAGTTGCCAGATCTGGACAGAGAATTAATATTCTGGCCCAACACCCAATATCTTTAGGTTGGGTCACTGCAAAAATTAAGGTGCAGAATTTTGGCCTTTTTAAGACTGCATATATTGGCTGTTAATATAAAAGTGCAAGAATGAGAGAATGCAAGAGAGGATCTCCTTAAAAGTCCTATCTTCTCTATAAGAACATGAAATCCTGGCTCTTCAGCTTTCCAATCTCTGTTCCAAGAGTGAAAAGATAATACAAAATTTTATTAACTTGCACATATTACTTAAGTGGCGCCAAACCTTCATTGTTCACATATTTCACTATCATTGATAAGGTGGAATTTGTGCTTTTTCTGGAGGAGGATGGACCAAATATCAAAGCAGACTGTGGTCTGCCTGCATCATTTTGCTACCTGCAAACCTAGTCCCTAATGCAGGTGTTCTTGGCTCTCCAGGTGTATCCCCAGCACTGTCAGGACTGCAATTACCRCCTCTGAACACACCCATGTTAATGCTAATCTGGGTGAGCCAGGTCCTGCTGGTGGGAAGCTGTGGAAGCCCAGGCTTCAGGAGAGGATGTGCAGGTTTGCAACCAGGGCTTCCATAGCTCATGGTTAATGATGTGGGGATTTTTGTTTTAATTGCTCCTAGTTCTTGGAGCTGGCTTTAATCCAGCTAGCTTAGTTATGCCTTTAGGAGCTGTGCTCACACCTTGGATTGCAATAGAGACTTAATCTAATGCTGGGAACGAGAGTTGTGCCAGCCAAGCAGTGAGTTTTTGGTGCATCTCTTTTGTAGATGTGAAATTCTGTTGAAGCTTATGCTTTTGTGTCAGGGTTTGTTTTCCAAATTGCCTAAAGGACACAGAGGTTGCTGCCAGTGTATGGAATATATAGGAAATGTAAARCACCAGGCGATGATAGCACTAACTGCAAGATATTGCAAGCAATAACTAAGATTTAACCTCAGCTTTGACTTGCAAGGAACAGTTAGAGGGAGTAAAAGATGCAGAAATATTTACTCCAACACTGCTGTTTCTCTATCAAARTGGTCTGTAAATGCCATCCTTGCCGATGACCATCTCAAAGTGAGTATTTTCATAGAAGCAACTGGCTAAAAGCTTTTACCTTGCTTCATGAAAAGCAGACTTTTCGTTTATTTTTCGTCTGGTGATGCTGGTGCTGGTTGTTCTAGTCCTGGGGCCATTTGTGYGCTGCTTGGGACTCTTTCTGGGAGAACTTGTGGTCCTGAAACAGCCCTGCTCTCTGCTGCAGCCAGGATTTAGAAATTGCTACGAACAGTCCTGATAACCAGACACCAGCCTGTGGGGCTTTTGRTGTCAAAGCAAGAGACGAGCAAAGTGTGAGAAGTGTCTCGGGCAGCTCTGGGGTGAGAGATTAGTTATGAGATTTTCGCAGAAAAATGAAGGAAAAYAGCAGTGTGCTTCCAGATCTCCTATCCTCTGCCAACCATCAAATAGCACAGTGTCACACCAAGGCAAGGGAAGGCCTTTATCCATAAGGATACAGCTGCCGGGATTTCTGGATCCAACCTGGGCTTGACCCTACGGGCTACAACACCACCATGTGTATTTGTGGCGTGGTTTTCACCAGAATGCCGGGCATTTTGAACGGCAGCTGTGCGGAGAGGCCAAGCCTCCCACCTACACAGCCGCTTCCACGGTTTTGATACGCGATGCCCAGCGGCTCCCCGGCGCGGGCCCAGCGCCTGTCCTGCCCGGCGAGGCGCTTGAGCTCCCAGTCCGGCTTTAGCAGAGGCCGGCGGCCCCGCCGTGTCTCGGGAACGCCCCGCATCGATGGCGCAGCTGCACTGACGTCAGGCAGGGAAATTCCCTCTGCCCAGCAGATTTGTCGCTCCCTGTGAGGCTCGAGGATGGGAGTTTCCTGCGGGCACAGCAGCCTGGGACCTCTCGAAGATGAGGCAGGCCTTTCGGAGGCTGCGGTGCTGCTGGTGAGCGGAGCACGGCACAGGAGCCTGCTTTTGGCCTCATTTCTGGTTTCTTGCTATGTTCACTATTCTCTGTGCCTCTCTTTCTTCTTACGTGCACACAAGTGAATACCAAAAGTGCTGCTGTGTGGTTTTCTTTTTTTTTTTTTTTTTTGTTTTTTTTAATGCTGTCTGTAGTATGTTGGGTAGCTGGAGGTGAGAACTGGAGCTCCTTTTCTGGCTCGGTGGGGAGGAGTTCTGGTGTTGGCTGTCTGGTCTAGTGTCTGAGGTGTCTCCTACTTTTCCATATGGAGAAGATCCCTGCTATTTAGGAATAGCTATGAGAAACTCATCAAATGTTCACTTTTATTATTCATTGACGGCATTAGTCTGGCCTGTGGTTTTAATGTTTTGCAGTTAGAGTTTTAGTAGCTTTTCTCACTGGTGAGAACTGAGACTGCCRCTTCTGAAATGCATCTTCGACTTCAAGCCCACTTTCGTACCATCTCTACTCTGCTAGATGAAAATGAAATGCAAAACTCCCTGCTGTYCACATCTTTGAGAAAGTAGTTCCCTGTGGCCTTTAAAGCGGTAGCTTCTCCATCATCATGCAATTGGACCCGGTGTAAGAAACTTTATTCTCTRAGGATCGTGTGGTTGTGGGTGGTTAGCACAGGCCTGAGATACACGGGCTGATGCGTTAGAAGAGAAGCCAGCCTGAGCTCTTTGGCTCATCGTGATCCTAAGGAACTGTGCAGGGGTGGCATAGATGGGAGGACTCAYGTAGAATGTCATTCTGCTCACTGTGATGTGCTCTGGTCTCAGTCCTAGCCCCTGCTCGAGGAACTGCAAGATTGGAAAGYTGCAAATAAATAACTGAAATGGCTAAATCCTCCTGTGGAGCTGGAAGTCTCCAGAAATATGCAGGGCAACTGGAAAAGACTATTTGGGAGCTCCTATCGTAGCAGTTCTGAGTCTCTTGAAGGCTTTAGTAGTTCACGTTACTCAAGCAGATGGCTATGACAAGTCCTGCCAAACGGGCAGAGACCACAAAGTATGCGCGGTCAAGACTATGGATGACTTCAGATATTCAGGCTTAGGGTAACCATAATCTGGGCGATTTCTGTCATCCAAGACCATGCTGAAAAGAGACAAGAGGTCTGAACATGGTTTGAGCTTTGTGAAACCAACTATCTTTGCTCAGAAAAGGATGGCCCCTGTCCAAACTGAAGGTTAAGGAGAGCACATAGTGCTCAGGCAGTGCAGATGTGATGGACAAGGCAAGGAAAACTCATTCCAGGGCATGCCGTGGTGATTGAGTAGCCTCCTTGCAGTGTGGATTAGCCCATGTCTTGGGAGAAGACTGAACAAATTTTTTTGGTAACCTGTTTGTTTTCACTAGGGACGGGGGGTATTGGAGGAAAGATTGTGTGAAACTGTACTTTTCTTTTAAGTCACAACAAGTCTTTTAAGTCTTCAGTTCTCTATTCTCCCTGTCCTTTCCCTTTCAGTACAAGGCAAGAGGAAATGTTTGTGTGAGCCAGACACAGCGATCTGGTGTTTGTGGAGCTGTGGGACCAGAGAGCCCTGCTGGCTGGAGGCTGCTGAGGAGGAAAGGTGACTTTTGAAATGATTCCCATCACAGCTTTTGGGTAGGCCTTCCAGCATCTGTGAGGGTGAGATTCCTGCTGCCTCTTCCTTTTCACAAGAGCCACCAATACAGGGAGCGTCTCCCACCTGCTTATGTCATGAAACTCATAAAATGTTAGTATTTGAGACTTTTAGTTTTTTGTTAAGTAGGGTTTAAATTAGAAACCGTGCTCTAAAGCATCATTTGCATTACTGACATATTAACAATTTTCCTTATATCATGAAGCGAACGATATTTTCCTTTTATATTGAAAATATTTGATTATTTGACTTTTTCTAGTAAAATATGTGGTGGGAAAAATACTGCAATGCCCCAACAGTCTCCTCCTGAGACTTTAAGGATCTGCCTCCTTTAAAACATATTCTTGTAGTCRCTTCAATTCCCTGTGGATGCTCCAGCCTGCTGCTGTGGAGGAGAGAGCGTGCAGAGGGGTAATGGGAGACTGGGTCACAGCTGTTCCTCTTCCTCAGACATGGAAGTGATGGTGGTGGAGTGATGCCCTGCATTCCTGCCCACCTACACACATGCTTCCTCCACATATCCCTGGGCCGCCTGCTCCATGTGAATGCTGGAGACTCCAGCTGTAAATAAGCCAGCCCGGCAGATCTTCAACACGTTGGCTTTCCTCTTGCTTCTGAGAGGCACGTGCTCGCTGCCATCAGATCAGTGCTAGTCTGCATGGAAACATCCTGGATGTCCACTGCTGCTGCAGGAGTATCACAGGCTGCTGCTCCTAAGGTTGGCTGCTTTTGAGATCCAGGACAGTGGGGAAAGGTCTCTCCTGCTCTGCTCTAGCTTGGGTTTTCATTGCAGGCTGTGCTATGCAAGCAGCACCTTGCAGTTGAGAGGAGCTTAACACAGCCTCCTTGCAATACCTGATAATCTGCCCACGTTTCTGCTGAATCACTCTGAACCAAGAGAATTTGCAGCTAAGTGTTGGCTGGGAGCACTGGGCAAGGAAGGAAGCTGGGCTCGGGGAGAAACAAGAAGACTTTTTGCCTTTTGCAAGCAGTTTCTATGGACTATCATGAGTGAGTTCCTCCAGCTCATGGGAGCAAGGTGAAAGATGGGCTTTCTGAGCTGTTTCAAAATGTGTCCAGATCTCTGTGGGAGTCTGAAAATGTCCAGCTCTCTGGGAAAATGAGGCAGGTGTTGTGTGCACTGCCCAAATGAGCCAAATAACCACTTGCATTTGCCCATCCCCAGGCATGGGGCTTGGTAAGGACCTCGGGCAGTTAGTGGTCCCTTTTGAAGTTTTTATGGAAATGTCCTTGCTAGACACCCCCTCCCAATAATGTCTTGTGAGTGTGAAGACAGCCCTGCTCCAAATGACTACTTCTCACTACAATTACGTGGTGCTTTTTTTTTAAATTGTTTGTTTTGTTTTTGAGGAGAAGAGATTCTTTTGCTGTAAATTGTGAGCCAGAGACTAACTTCTCTTCTTGACTGAGGTGTTGCTAGACGTGTTCATCATTAAAAGCAGGAATCACAGGCTGTTAGGGCTGTAACAGACTTGTACTTAAGGTGTCCGAGGCACACAGGGGCACCTGAAAACGTACATTAATGTTGGATGTTCCCTGCAAAATGGCTTTGGACRTTGCTCAGTGTGGTTAGGACAGTTTTTTGTTGCATGTTGGTTGCAGAGCAGAGCTGGTGCAGTGTGCGGGGAGCACAGGCACCTGAGAGCCTTTGGGAGGTCATAATACTATGACCACATAGTATTAGTTGGGCACGTGCCAGCTGAACAGACTGGTCATGACCCAGAAGAGCAGGTCTGAGTGTCTTCAGAGACATGAGACCAGTCGCACTCATGTGGCATTATTTTGGGTGAGATTTCTGCCTTCTTGACTGAGGTCTAGCAGGAAACATGCTCTGCCTTTGACAGAAAGGATGAGATCTAAGCAATATGCCCACACAGACTGTAGCAAGGAATCATGTTCAGCCTGAAACCCATGTGCACCTCACCAGCCACGTGGCTTATCCATACTGGTGCAATGGGAGCAGCACGAGTCCTGAGGATGAAGAGCATGGGGAGGCAGAGCATGGGGAGGCAGAGCATGGGCATGCTCAGCAGCTCTGTTGCTTGCAGGACCCAAAGGGCTCATGCAAGGAAGGCTGCCATCTGTGTCCTTTAAGGGCAGCTATCCAAAGCTTAGATCAGAGCCAGGCTAGCGGTGGGGGCCAAAAGCCATGGCCTTCCTGTAATGATCTCGGCTAACTGATGCCCCTTGCCTTGGGACACTTTCTGTGTGGGGAGAGACAGAGCTTGGCATGAACAGCAGAAGGGGATACAGGTGCACAGCCCCCAGGATGATCTTTTTCTCCTGAGGAGAAGCTAGTTTGGACATTCCCATATTTCCTCCCCACTGATCCAGGCTCCAAGGCTTGGCATTGACTCTTGAAGGGAAAGGCATGCGGTTTTACTGATTCTTGCAGAAATGGGGCAGAGGAAGCTGTGCCCAGCCTGGAGGTAGCCCTTAACTTAAGAAATATACCCTTCATCTCCAGTCTCTTCCTTGGTGAATATCACTTACCCTAGGGAAAGCTGCTTGGACTTGGCCGGGGCTCAGCCCTGCGAGCCTGCAGGATTCACAATTCACAGATGTTAGGAACTATCAGGCTCAGTGTGGGTGGAGAATGTCAAGTCTGAAATAGCTTCCCTGCCACCCTGGCACAGGCAGCAAAGAAAATGTTTCCACATGACATTCTTCGAACCAAAATTTCCTCCAAGGGAAAAGCAGAAGGGAAAGAAGGGAGGAAAAAAAAAAAAAAAAAGAGGAGGAGAGGAAAAATAAAAAAAATAAATAAAAAGAGGGGAAAGACAGTCTCTGTCCTCTGGGATTATTTAAGGCTTTTACTCAGAAGGCTGGTGTTTGTGCTGATGCACAGCAGGTGAGGTATAGGTCAGCCCCTTCCCCTCTCCCCGTATACACAAACATACACGTCGGCTGGAAGATGCAGTCTGGTTGGTGCACAGATACGTGGACGCTATTTTTTCCTACTGGAATCCATTTTAATTTAGCTCCTGATTCATATTTCATTCATTCTCCAAAACCACAAAACCGGGATAGGTTTACAGCCTGTACTACTCGGCTGAGCCGTGGAGGAGGAGGGGAAACAAGAGAGGAGGGGGATGTTGTTTTCATGACTTTTTAAATTATTATTAATTAAAAAAAAAGTTTATCCCTTTGCCTTGTATTTTCCTTCCTGAAGATAAGTCTGCTTTTCATCTTTACTAGTTTGTTTTGGTGGATTTGACTTTGCTCTTGTTTTCAGACTCCTCTTTAGCCTTTAGGGGCCTGAAAAATGTATGATTATTTTTTTCCAACTTTTCTTTCTCTAGTGAAAACTTTTGAAAATATTGCAGTTTTCAAGGTCCAAATCATTTGATTGTTTCAATATCCTGTAAATAAACTTAAAACGTTCATATTGTCTAAATTTTCTTAAGAAAAGAAATCTCAAAATTATTCAGCAGGAAACATTAACAATTATATCTTATTTCTGTCCTTCGCGGGGGGGGGGCAGGAGGGAGGGAGGAAGGGGAGGAAGAGGAGCAAAAGTTCAGAGTTAAATTTAATTGAGGAATTTCCCCATATTCTGTCATTCAGCTTTTGAAACTGTGACCACAACAGTCTGTTTGTGAACTGTGGCAAGAGAGAGAGACTGAAAAACAAAATTTCCCCGGGCAATGTTCTGCAGGTAACAGCCGCAGAATTGACCAGGAAAGCTTTTAAAGTGCGACCAAATTCAGCACGGGCGCTGCACCCAGCGGAGGAAACTCCAGCCATCTGGAGATGGGCGATGACCAGCGGCCACAGCAGTTTGCAAAATCGCCAGAGCTGCCAAAATTAAACTGTGAAGTCAGGCGGCAGAGCACCCAGTGACCGGCAAGATCAGCAGTTCAGCGATGCCCCCGGATGAGCTCCCAGCAGCAAGGGTGGCTGATGTACACCGAAGTTTATTAAGGATGTTGAGAGGAGGGGAAAATATCTGTGCGGAAGATGCCCAGCTGGCGAGGAGTGACTGGTGGTGATGCTCGGGTCACTTGATGAATCCCATTGGCCAAGTCCCTGGGAGATCCCACCCATTTGCAAGTGTGAAATAAATCTCTAAAGTTGTATCTCGTGTACCACTTGACCTTATTGCTTTTAGCCTGCTGGCTTTATATAAATATATATTTATTTATTTTGTTTTGTACCCAAAGAGGGGGCTTTGTACCCAAAGAGGAGCTCGAAGGAAATGAATTTTGAAGCGGCTCCTTTCACCACCTTGCAGTACTACCCTGATCCCTGCATCCAGCGGTGAGTCTCTGAGYGTGACGTAACTCTCTCCTATCGCGGATCCGATCGGAGTGTCTTGTGTAATTGTTAACTTTTCTGCTATCGGCCAGCGGCAGCTGGGCTGCACGCGGAAAAATGTGGCACTCTCTTCATGCTCAGTGGAGCTTATTATTATTTTTGGCTTTCTAACAGGTTACCGTTTAATTATAGGCATCCGTTTAAGATATCACCCTTTTCCTCTTTGGCATTAGAGAAAAATATATGATAAATAACTCGAAAGCTGATAGTATCTTTCCCCTGTGTTTTGGAGCAGGCTGTTACTTGGTGCTTTGGGAAATGTAAGAATGGCTTTAGGTTGATCTAATCGAAAAAGGTGCTGGAAAGAATAGAAGTTTAATTATAAAGCTTTGAGATTTTGGAATCTAAAGGATAAATAATTTAAAAGATCCAGAGAAGAGAAAGTCTTTGCCTTCCTTTAAGACAGAGTATGGAGTGTGTTTTTTCTTTTTTAAGTCTGTTTAACAGTCAACATCAGAGCTTAACAACCACTCTTATTTTAGCTTTGTTGTTAAGCTGAGTTTTAAACTTTCCAGCAGATAAAAGAGCCCGTCCATGCGAGGTATCACTGTATCACATTGTCAGTTTGTTTGTTTCTCCCAATAGGACATACTATATTTAAGCACGTAAATGACATGTAGGTGGTATTTTTCCAGTCGTAAAGTTCGGAGAGGTGAAATCCTTTCCGCGCAGCCACTTGTCGAGCTGCTTTGGGGCTAGTTTCTAGGGACATTTTGGAAAAGCCCTGGAGAGCAGGAGCCTCTCCCAAAGGCAGCCGGTCTGCGGAGGGGTTAATGCTTCACTCATGCACATGCTGGTGCTCGCAGGAGACAGCTTATGTTGCACGGTGTCTGCTGAAGACATAGCTCAGTCACCCAGCTTAGAGAATCGCAGGCAGCTTTGTGGTCTCTTATCCATTAATATAATTTTGTCTCAATGCTTTGGTGTTTTTTCCTCCTTCCTCGTTAATCTGCTCCTGCTGCCAYGTGCTCAGCGCCACCCCGGCACGGCTGCCCTTGTGAGCAGCGTGGAGAGCTGGCGGTGAGGAAGGGCATGGGGAAGAGGAGACGGAGAGCTGGGAAATAACCCGTGCTCCTCGGTTGCAAGTGCTGGCTGGGATGAGGAATGCGGGCCGGAGCAGTGAGTATTGGATTCCCCTGCGAGACCTGCTGCCGTGCAGTCCGCTCGGCCGCTGGGCTCGGCACTTGGCCCCGCTAAATCCCTGCGGCTCTGCCAGTGTCCGTGGGGGACGTGTGTGCCCCCCTGAGAGCAGAAATCCAATAGTGGTGCCCGCCTGGGAAGCAGGTTTGGCCCAGCAGCAGCCAAGCTCTTTTAACAGCCGAAGAGGATCCAGTGGCTGGAAGCCAAAGCTAGGCAAATTCCAAGCAGAAAAGCGAACAGAAAGCCTAAAGATGTGCTGGGAAAGGCAGCACAGCTTCCCAGGCCCAGTGAGCGCCTGCCAGTTCTGTGCTTAGATGCAGGATGGGCTGCAAAAAACATGCAGAAAACCTGCCTGATGTAGGAAGTATAGTATGAGATTCCCGTGGCTGTGTTCTGTAGACTTGACTACTGAAAATGTCCCTTTCTCACCTTGAAATGTGTGTCCTCCAGCAAGACATGCCTTCCACCACATATGCTGGTCCTCCTTTTATGCTGTAAGAACCTGATGATTTTTTTTTTTCCGTCAACAAGTGTTGTAGTGTGGGAAGCTTCAGGATAGCTTGGAACGGATGAACTTTGTGACATCCCTCAGTCGTAAAAACTGATTGAGATTTGGCTTAGACTAGTAAWGCAGCTCAGCTGTTATGCATGTCTGTTTACATGAACTGAGAATGACATTTGTCCAGTTATTAGTGGCTATGCTTTGCATGGTCAAAATTAGCAGAAAATTGGTCCCAGAGACATTTTTYTCTGTTTGAAGACATTAAGACTTTTAAGCTTTAAACTCTATCAGCTGAGTAGCTTTCATGTGCTGCGTGATTTTCTGACTGATGTAATAAAACTGAACAGTTTCATAATTGCATTTACTTTACACAGATGATTGAAACATTTTGCTTTGCTCTAGTCAGAACACTTAATTTAGCTAATATCAGCGTCTTGGTAATATTATTGTCTGTAGTAATATTATCTGTTATTTAAATAGTAATAATCTAAACAGCAAACTGATATTATTGAGTATGATGACTATAGTGCCACTATAATGGCTGTATACTTGCTACCTGTCATGTCACAGTAGAGAAGCTGGCTTTGTACGACCACTGTGATGTGTCCAAACATAGTAATTCATGGAATGGTTGAGGTGGGAAGGGACCTCTGGATATTATCATGCCCAGCCTTCCTGCTCCAACAGGGTCTCCTAGAGTATGTTGCACGGGATCTCATCCACATGGTTACAGATGAAGAAAAACAGCCAGATCCCAATTTCTCAGTGCTGTGCTTCGTGGCTTAGGTCACTCCTGCATCTCTCTCAACTTCTGCCCCATCCTTCTCATTTAGACTATTTATGCTGTTGCTGTGTGGCCATACAAACAGAAGTATACCTGCAGACAGCCCTGCTGGGATACAAGGTGGTGATCCTGTTCCTTGTTAGACCCACATCTTGCTGTGGGTGCTGGTGTTCAGCACTAGAGATGGCAATCCAGGTGGGAGAAGGGTTCCTGGGCTCTGTTGCGAGATGCATCCCTGAATAAAAGTGAGGGATATGCAAGTAGCCCAATAATAACTGACGTGAGCTTGGATAGGCATATTGCTGAGCTGGCTTGCTTTTTTTTTCTTCCAAATAGAAGACCAAAGAGATGTCATACTTCAACAATAGTGGAGTTAGAAAARGTCTAAGGCTTTTATTTCCTTCTGCTTTCCTTTTGAAAGGATTCAGCTCCCCCAAACAGTGATAAAGCAGGGTCAGCCCTCGACTCCTGGGCCTGGAAAGGGTCATCTGCCAGAACAGAAGTGCCAATTCACTGACCCCAGTGAGTTACTTGTTTGGATGATACTGTGTAAGCTGGAGTTCATCCTGCGCCGCAGAAARCCTAAGCGGGCTCTGACTCATAAAACAACCTAACTATCTGAAACGGGTGGGATTTCCAGCTTCCTAGCTGCAGTTGAAAGCCACTAATGTAAAATGAAGAAGGCACTGTAATTATGATCAAAGTCCAGCTGCTGAGAGCTATGTAATTAGTCTCTCTCCCTCCAAAGTCCCTTTTTCAGCTAATGTCTGGTTGGGGGAGCGATGTTTACAGATAAGTTACTTGTGCTTTTGGAAATAGTGGTCATTAGGCTGTGTTTTACCTAGGAGCTCTGTGCTTTTGGGGGCTGTGAGGAAGGCACCTGTTAGTGCAGCGGATTAAGGTCCTGCCTGCCTTGTCTGCTTGCCCCTCTGCCCACACCCTCCCTAATTGGTGGCCTCAAAGCTTCTGATCCCTGGTGTTTTGAAGACATTTCTGTGGCCCACTCCTTTTTGAATGAAAGGCCTCTTGCACAGGCAACTCTTTCCTCTTCCATTTCTGGCTTTGTGTTCTCAGCACAATGTGATTTGACCCAGCCTTGCAAATCTCACTAATAACATAGGCTTGAGGAACTTAAATCCTCCGGTCCCTGCACTGGGAATCTGTTCCTTCAGATGTGTCTGTAGGCTTGGTCAACTCCTCCCACCTCCTCTTCCCAACCTAAAAAACAAGCAGTTAGGTACAAAATCCACTTATAAAAGAGGATGAAGGAAGCTTTTTGTAAGAAATGAATTGGGAGGTATGAAAGAAGGGGAGGGAAATAGTTCATGGTAATATGGTCTAGTGGAAGATGCATCTGGATTGATTTCAGAGACCAGAGTCTGCTTCAAGCCACCCAGAACTCCTGGGTTCAGAAGGGAGTCTTTTCTCAGAAGTACTGGGTGTCACCTCATCTTTCTTCTTTGGTTTCTGCACATATAAAACAGGACTGGCAAATGGACTGCAGTTATCAGATGGGAATGTTGCCAAGGTTAATGCTCACTATACATTATGAAGGTGAAAAACTTGCTGTACAAAATGCTTATTTTATTGCTATTAGGCAGTATTAAAACTGCAGGATTTCTGCTCCATGCTGGAAGGAAACACATTCAGGTGAACATGCTGGCTGTGCAGTGCAAGCAGTGCACTGTGTTCCTCTGCTCAGAGTCAGTAGTTGTCCAGGAGAAGTTCTGGGGTCAACAGGTCTCCTTTCAGTATGACTTTAGCTAGGTGGTATCAGGAGAGAGAATTATTTAAGTAGTGTAATTGAGTGTAGTATCTTGTAGAAAAGTCAGTGTTGCAGAAAAGTCCCTGTGCTAGACCCTGCAGAATACCTGCTTTCAAGCAACTGTTCTTTCAATCTTTCCTTGTATTTCTTGTGTTGAATAATAACCTAACTCCTACCATGTTGGTTGATGTCTAATGTGCCCTTAGCTTCATGATGGGGGCCCAGACTTGCGATGTTAGCAGA